TAGAGGTTTCCTAAGTCAAGGGGGTACCCCTTTATCGCTGCGTGGTTTATTTCATGGAAAATCCCAAAATAAAATGGATGAGAACTGGATCCCTGTTCTAGCAAACCTCCACAATTTGTTTTTTTTGGTTATTTGCTGATTTTAAGGCCATCAAATACGGGAGAAGAACAATTAAACAGAATCAGGGGGCTGACAAAGCTAGCCACGATGAACCACTGTCAGGCTCTGCTTTTTTGGGAGCTTTCTGGGGCGGTCAACAACAGGAGACATTTTTGAAGGGCCGAACGATCCTGACAGGATCACGTTTCTTGGCATTTCTGGGCCATACAAGCAACAGCAAATTCTGAGCCATGGCCAAATTGGGTCTGAAAATTGAGGGAACAACTCCAGACATCTGATGTTTTTTTATCACTTTCTATTTGGAATAAATCACTATTATTAATCATTCCCATATTTTCAGTTAGTTGGAGACAAATCCCTTTCATTTTTCCCACATTTTATTTGGGCTATAGTTGAACCCGAGCAGCCTGGATCGGTGGGTTTTCTCTGCAAGGCTTCAAGCAACGGCGGAAGCAACATGGGCGCTGCTTGCCGCAAGAGCCCGCCTAGCGGATGAAATGGAAATCCCCACGGCAATTTCCATGTCATGTTCAGTGGCCATACGCTATTCGATGTGCTTCATACGCTATACCATCTGGTTATGACTAACAGTTTGCCATGGCAAGATCCACCCATTTTATAGCTAGGTAAACCATCTATTTCTATGGGTCATGTCCCATGGCTATGTTAAATAACCAGAGGGTATATATATATATATATATATATTCAATGGAAATTTCAGGATCCTAAAATGGAGGTACGTTTAGTACCATATTTCTGGCCATATTTTGTGGGGATATTCCCTGAAATTCAGGCCTGAAAAATAGGCCTTATATATGGTAGGTACCTCCATTTTAGGATCCTGAGATGGCCAGTCATATTTATATATATATATGTATATATTATCAGTATCTATGATATGACATATAGTACGATTTCTCATTATTACGATATTGATATGGCAGTGTGTCAAAACCTTGTACCCCTGTAGTTCACATCAAAATAGCTGGTAAATGGATGTTCATCCCACTAAAAATTGTATTAATAGGTATTGATCCATAGCCATATATATATAGATATATATGACATACATATGGTATGATACTCGTCACATTGTACTGGTTTCCCACATGAACTATTCTGAAGGGACGAGATCAGATCCTTCTCCTCGGTGCATCTCCTATGCTAACCACATGCAGAGAAGGTGGTTAGCATTCTTTGGGGGTAGAAAAAATGGGGGTTTCCATGGGTTTCCATAAATGAGTCTATATATATATATACATGTATATATATTATAGCGCCGGACAACTACTTAGAACATCGTTTTGGAAATTTTTCGGTGGGTACGCGCGCTCTACTTAGAACATTTTCGGCGAATAGGGGGACGTATGTTCTAAGTGACTTAGAACATATGAGGATCCTCTACTTAGAACATGCCATCATATATACATGTAAATATATGTATATGTATACATACATACAACTTAACACTGCATATTTATATTATATATACAGGTGGTGTGATGTTGCGTTAAGATACGTTGTATATTGAAATTATATGACCGATTGAGCGGTTGGAATGGTCCAAAGCCTACAGCGGGACGAGATTCGAGATTCGAGATCCTACAGCGGGACATATATTGAGCTGAACAAAATGAGCGAATGGATCCGGATGCTCTAGGTGAGAGGCTACAATTCGAACATCAGGTTCGGAAAGTTTTTATTATATGAATATATAGTGCCGGACAACTACAATATTAAAAATATATTATATATACACAGGATTTTCCAAAAATGCACGTAGATAGCTGGGGAGATTCTTACTTAGAACATGGGGGAACCCCCAAAACCTCTACTTAGAACATCCCGTGAACATATATGTTCTAAGTAGTGGTCCAGGATCTCTACTTAGAACATGTTTTGGAATTCCAAAACCAATGTTCTAAGTATATGTCCGGCACTATATATATATACACACATACATGAATTATTAGATGATTTTATATGGGATTCAATATAAAATGGTCATTTGGAAGTTTCCTAAGTCATGGGATACCTCTTTATCGCTGGATGGTTTATAAGGGCAAATCCCATCTATAAATTTTAGGAAACCCTCTGTTGCTATAGACATGTCGCCCCCGCATCCCTTGCCCTTGACGACTTCACAGAACCACGAAAACATCGGCACCGACCTTGTGATCCTCGCGTCAACTCTTGCGCTGCCAAAGCTTCCTGAGGGCGGTGCCATCCTTGATTTTTTTAATCGCGGAGAGACTAGATTTTGGTCCACATCTTAAAATCTAGGGTTCCTGATATTTCTTCTATCTTTACATATCCAAACTGGAGGTGTCCTAAAATCGGGGTACCCCCAATTTCATTAAAAAGTTCACCGTCAATAGTATATTGAAAGCCATGGTTTTGGGGACCCACCACTATTTTTCACGACCTAAAAGCGATGTCGCACACCAAGATTTACCCGTTGAAAGCGACCAAGATTCCCATATATCCAGTGCACGAGATGCGACTTCCTCTGAGTCGCCAGCAATGGACGTTTGTGTCGCTGCAACCAACCTGACTTGGTTCCATTTGCAGGGAACAACGGGTGTAGTGTTAGTAAAGCAATAGTAAAACAGTACATCATTCATCATCCCAAATTCTATCATAATGGGTTGTATATAAACCATCAGAATATGGGTGCATGGTTCTTATTCTTACTTTACAAACATGTTGGTTTTGAAACCTGTGGTTTTGCGGATCCCCCCATTTCAAGAACCCCCATATATTTAAAATGTCGCCCCAGGTGGGGCCTCCAAAATCTCCAAAGCTTATGTTTGTTAGTTCATAAACTACCCCATGAGATGTTACAAGTATCATAAATCATAGTTCTTGGATTTATGTTCACCAACTTAACTATATATCCGATTGTCCAAATTCCAGTAAATCACAATAAAATACCAATGGCCAGCATGGATCACTGCCAAATTGATTAATTAATGACCAAATAGAACCAGGTCGCTGTTGCAAAGCTGGTATTGAGATCACGTTGTAGGACTCACTGACACAGACTTCAAGCAATCCTGAGACGCGGCATATCCAAAGCAGCCTCTGAATCAGCTGCCCCAAAAATAAGCACAGAAAACAAATGCCATACAAATCATACAGTCTTGAGGCTCCTTAGAGTGAGTTGTTTTATCTCTGTTTCCCAGCAAAATGCTTGCTACAAAAGACCATGTGCCATGGTCAAAACGTGCCAAAACATGTGTTGTGATATGTTGTGATCATCCAACCACTAATTCAGAGTCCTTACAGTATACAATGTTTGCCCCATGATGATTCCGGTTTCTAAAGGTGGTATCATCATCCCCTGATTCATCAGCTATTCAAATCCAACTGTTGACGTTGAGACTCTGTAGGCTTCAAGGCGAAGCTGCGACTGATCCAGTGCATGTAATGCGGCTGAAAGGGTGGCAGCCTGAAGTTACGGAAACAGCTCGTTGAGGGAAATCTTCAGCAATCCAAAATGGGGAGTTTAACATAACCAACATTTTTCCAACGATATAGCACAACATGGAATGTAACAGTCATAGCATAGCATGACCAATGTGGATGAAGAAGCAAAGTGCACACAACATCAACCTGGAGCACTCTAAAAGCTCTGACAGAAGCCAATCACAGATGTATGTCTTCGTATGCGGGAATCATCACAGCCAGTTCCGAACACATGGAAGTCTTGATGATTGAGAACTCAAACATCTTTATGAAATCACACGCCTGATGTAAAGCCAATGGTTCCATACAAGATGGGGCCAACCATTATGCTTGTTGGTAACCACCGACTTTTGTTATATCTACACACCATAATCCCAAGATTTATTGGACATATAAACCAACTTAACTATCAAAATCCCAGTAAATCTGACTAAAATCACCATAACTTTACCGTGAAACCATAGACTGATAGACTTCACCAAGTGAACCTTGCGTCAACTTAGCAATTTTGCATAATTTTGCCATCCCGAGGATGCCATGACATGCCATGACCCGTTGACCCTGACCGCCTGATGTGCAGCAGTTCCTGCTGGTAGTAGCGCGGCCAAGGCCTGGAGAGTGGCTCGGGTTTGTCGGAAAATCGTGTATCCCTAATCCAATGAATCCAATGGTTCATTATATGGCTATGGATCAATACCTACAAGTACCATTTGTAGTGGGATGAACATCCATTTACCAGCTATTTTGATGTTCACCAGGGGTACAAGGTTTTGACCCATCCCCATTTTGAAATCAGATGAAATTAGACAAACCTAATAGTGTGTATCACCGAATAATAGCCATGGCTATCCTTTATGGTTCATCGTCATGATCAACCGGGGCGATTGACTCTATGATCAACCGGGGGGATTTAGGGATTGATTTACTGGGTGAAAATACTGGATACTCGGGCGTGTCTGATAATGACTTGTAGACACTTAAGTTTTATGGCTGAAAATAGGGAACATGAGGATTAACTGGTAGATGGAATGGGGTTCTCCCGAAATTGTTCGAGAACACCGTAAAATGGTTGTTGTTCATATCCCATGAATATCCAAGGATTTTTTTCCATTATATTATTCTTATGTTTTCCCCACAGGTAACTATATACCCTAGGGTAAACTCACATCGATCTGGGAAACCCATGAAAACCCATGGTTTCCTATGGTTTCCTCGGAAAATAGTCTACGCATGGTTGATTTTCCACATCGTAAACGTTTACTGGAGGGTGCCCTCTGGTAAACTAACATAACTATGGAAAATCACCATTTTACATGGGAAAATTCACTATAAATGATGATTGTCCACATCGTAAACCTTTACTGGAGGGTAACCCCTTGTGTTTCTGCCCGCCTGCAGAGCAGCCACTGCAACTTGAAGCGAAATCGGCGCCCTCAGCGCAGCCAGTGCCGCCTGGCTGTGAGGCCAGGTTTCGTGGCTGTGTTGTAATATGGGATAACTACTATATTATATGTATTTAACTACTATATATCTACTATATTATATTTATATGTATCGGTTATGATCATTTATGTCTCGTTGTGATCATTGTCATCAATATCATCCTGAATGGACTAGTGGCACTAGTGGTTGTTTGTGTCTCTTTTTGGAAAAGTTCTGAATACGTTCATGGTTTTGACTTTTCATGGAATACAAACATTGCAGTTTTCACTTATGAATGACCAACAAGAGCCCAACAACTCATAACCAACACGTAGGAATACAAAACATGAAATACAACATAAAGACAACAAGAGTTTTGCCTCTTTGGGAAGAATACTTCTGAACATTTGACATGTGACAATCTGTTTGAACACAAGTTTGGCTGGAGGTATCCAGCCAAGAGAAACAAGATGATATATCATTTGTTTCCCTCAATCAACAACTGTTGCTCTTCAACAAAATCATCATCAGTTCAAAACTTCTATACACACGAAACAACATATACAAGATTAACCAATAGGCTTAGCTGAAAAATTCGGGACACCAAAAAATTGTTCTTTACTCGCTTAACAATACTCATGTTCAATCGTTTGCCAACCAAATTGCCGTAAATGGAGGTATAGACACAATCAATTTTCAGACACACCCACATCAATATCACAAACGATTGACCCGGTAAACCCACAAACGAAAAAACCGCACCCCAATAACCAACCAACTTTTTGGATGGTCATTTTTTATCAGCCCAATAAATAAAAAGACGGCATATAGCATCTCAATGCCAATGGAGCCCCAATCGGGGATGGTTTACCCAAGGATCTCATACATCAATGTCCATTAGCCACACTCTAATTGCAGTGAGGTCGCGACACGACTTGATGATGATTATTCTATCCAACCGCAACATTGACATAAAAACCCATGTTGATGTGCCAAAAAATCACTCATTTACCTCCATGTATTATATTGTATTAATTTATATATGTCATCTTCCATTTATATAACATTGATATGACATCATTGATATATTATATAAATATATTATGTATGTATATATATATATACATATGTATTACAATTTTACAGTATATATATATGTATTATATATATATGTATTATAATATATATATATATATGTGTATAATATATATATATATATTATATATACATCATTATAATATCGACATAAATTTTCATGGTTCCACCAACCAATGGACATTCAACCGCCATTTCCCCGCGCCTCGGTCATCTCGGCATCGGTGCATCCCTCCTCTGCCAGCAGCTGCATGACCTTCAACGCAGAGACCACGTGACCTGGCCATAGCAGGCGCTGGGAGGGAACTGGCCCGTTTTGTTTGTTGGTTTCAGGATGCTTCAGGTCAAGCACTTCAACATACTTCAAAGCAGTTTGTTGTTTCTAACCCAGGATAAAAAAAATAAAAATAAGAACGTATGGGCCAACCAGTTTTTGTCAGCCAGTTTTTTGATATGTAAGTCCTGAACATCTCAATGACTTGTGGATTAATACCCCTGGACGAAGTTTTGGATTGCCTCTACAAACTGGTGGAGAAGGTGAGTTGACTTTCAGAGGTAATAATTATCCATCGAAGAAGAAATGGATCAGTGAATTTAGATGGGCAGGTTGACCTGGGCAATGACCGGCCAGACTCTTCCGCGTGCATCTGCAGGGCGTTTCACATACAGTACTATCTCAAGCTTTCAACAAAGTAAGAGGACCAGTTGCCCTATGGGTGTGGCGTAGCTTGCAATGTCTGGAGCTAGACTTTGACAACCTGTCTGTGGAGGTTCGACTCCTCCCTGGTCCGCTTTATCCACTGCTGGATCTCATTCGTGTTGCACCCTTGCCATGATGGGTCTAGGCCCTGCATGGCGTCTTAAATTACTCCAACATTGACATTCAAAAGAAACATCTGATGTTACACTGACCCATTCCAATCGGGTCAGGTCAGGTCGCTTCAATCCATAGAGTTATATCCCAATCTTGGTTGCTTAAAACTTTATGTTTGCTGATTGAAAACACTTTTTTTTGCAGATATCACATGTTTCTAGACTCCTAGACAATTATAGATTCATATAAAATCAGATATTGACAGAGAATGTCTTCAGAGAACATTATATTCACATATATTCGCATATATATATTATATATATTATATATATTATATATATATTATATATATTATATATATATATTATATATATATTATATATATATATTATATATATTATATATATATGTATGGGTTTTCCATAAATGGGGGTACCCCTAGTTTTCATCCATTTTGTTTATATATGGGATTTCCCATGACATAAATCATGCAGCGATAAAGGGGTTACCCGAATTCTAGAAAACCCCCAAATCCCATTCGAATGTAATTCGGTTGGTTCACCCTAGTTATAAGTGGATTAACCCTACAAAAATCTGGGCAAATTACAATCATTCACTAACCTGAGCCATGTTGAGCCATTTTGGGATGATTCCTCTTATTGGTTCATGATTCCAGTGAGCAGCGAGGTTGTTATGCCCAGATAAGTGGATGAACCCTACTTGTCTCACTGAAAAAGACAGTATAAAACAGGGTAATTAGTCACCTACTTAGTGGGTAGTTTGCCACCACGTAGTCTCATTCATAGTCGATTAACCTACTGAAAAAAAACCAGACATCTACTGGTTGGTGGTTGAGCCCTACCCCTCTGAAAAATGATGGAGTTCGTCAGTTGGGGTTACTATTCCCAATATATGGAAAGTCATAATCCATTCATGTTCCAAACCACCAACCAGATCGATTTAATATCGGTAAAACAACAATAAACCACCCATGACTGGGAATGGTAAACATACCACCAAGCAAAACCAATGTGATTTGAGGGACAGTTTTTTATTGCTATACCCACAATATATGGAAAGTATTGGAACGTCATGACTAATTCCATGGTTCCAAACCACCAATCAGTTACTAAGAATTCACCATTAACCAGTATTACTAATAATTCACCATTATTAGCCAGTATTAACCATGAAAATCATCCCATGTTCCAGTCACCACCAAGCAGTTCTCCACCTCGTTGTCCCAAGGCCAGCACCGCCGGGACCAGCTCCGGCCACGGCGCGGATTTCCAGAGGCGTCCGGCGCAGAGGGCGGCCTGACAGCACAGGGCCTCATCGTCCAAGGCCTGGAAGGGGCTCAGTGGTGGGGATTGGGGGTTATAACCATGAAAAATCATGGGACTATCATTGCAAAATCACTGGAAAATCATGGGAAAATCACTGGAAAATCATGGGAAAATCACTGGAAAATCATGGGAATATCATGGGACTATCATTGCAAAATCACTGGAAAATCATGGGAATATCATGGGACTATCATTGCAAAATCACTGGAAAATCATGGGAATATCATGGGAAAATCATGGGAAAATCATGGGAAAATCATGGGAAAATCATGGGAAAATCATGGGAATATCATGGAAACATGGTCGCCTGCAAAATTGCGGCCCGTAGCAACTTGGCCGTATCTGGATGCGCTGCAGCAGGCAGCACGTTCTTCAGAAGACATACCGCCATGTGGCGCACCTGTTGGGCGCGCGGTGTCCAACATTTCTGGATGCCAACACATTTCTGTTTCACTGTTTCGCTTGAGCCATAAAATGAGGATGGCTCAAAAGTATAGATCCATTTGGATCCATTTGGGGGTTGAGGATTTGAATGGATTTGATCCATATCCAATTTTATCCAATGACTGTGAAACTGGTGGCCTCCATGGGGAGCGTGGCATCCTGGAGGCTTTGGCTGCAGGCCAGCGCAAAAGCCACCTGGTCCCATGGAGGACCATCTGAGATTTCTTGGGCCCACATGGGTTCCATGGAAATGGCAAAGAATGTCATTTCTCCACTTTTTGCCATCCAGTCCATGGTTTGAGTAGCTAGTACCAGACTTGGACTCGGCAAATCAATAGCTAGTACCACATGTGTATCCTTCAGCCAACAAAGTCAATTCAACAAACCTCTCAGCATCACAAAAATCCCACGGAAAATCCGGATAATTCCCAGACTTGGTCGAATGGAAAAACTACAGAAAAACCCTAAGAATATCTAAATTTCCATGGGAAATTCCCGGTGGATTTTTGAGTTTCCCTCTGGCCCCGTTACTCCCATGCTTGCCCCGCACCTGGTCTCGCTGCAGTTTCAAGATTTCCCGCTCTGCCTGACGTCCATTCGGCAGCAAACACTGCCGTAGCAGCTGCTGGAACTCCATGGCGTGTGCGGCCAAGCATGGCCGCTGAAGGTGGCTGTGATTACAACAAAGGCATGGAAGTTGATAAAGAGGGAGAATGATGGAGAATGCACATGGCAGTGTGTCAAAACATGTCAAAACCAATAGTACCCCTTCTGTTCACATCAAAATAGCTGGGATTTATGGATGTTCATCCCACTAAAAATGGTATTTATAGGTATTGATCCATACCCACATCTCAAAATTTGGGATTTAGGGGTACCCCCATTTATGGAAACCCTCACATGTATGCAAATGTGTTTGTGAAAACTGGCGCTGTTGCCTGTTGGACACACCACTTTTGGACCTCTTGCGCCTTGTTTGATCGATTTAGACAGCTTGAACCAGATCCCAAATTGTTCCCGTTCATAAACAAACATGGCAACGGAAAACTCTCCATTTTCAAGATGATCTACCTATTCATCCTATTCAACATGCTGATGTTCCCTTACCAGCTCAAATTGAATCCAGGAAAATCAATAATCTATGATATTGTATATATATAATATAATATGACATATACATATATATATACAATTATATTAACATTAGATATGTAACATACATATTATTATATAGTTACTCTCCAGTAAATTAACATAGACCCTGCCAGATAGGGGTTGGAAGACTAGTTTCCACTATAAATTGGTGATTTTCAGAGGGTAATTACTTCTAACATTCAGGATTGACCCCCCCCCAAAGCTCCAGCTAAAAGAAAAGATCCCCTTCTGTCGCTGAGAACGCCCACGGGAGCCTTGCCCTCGTCCGCGGCGGCCTTCCGCACCATCTCGCACACGGCCACCCGTTCCTAAGGCTTGCGCTTTGATCGATCAACCTAAGGAGAAATGGATGGAGAAATGGATGATCTATGAATATCAAATGTCCATAGAAATGGATGATAATCATTATTTGAAACAACGGGTATTTATGTCCTAATGGATGATCTGTAATGGATGGATTGTCTATGATTAATTACCTGTTGTTTCAAATGTCCATCCATGTCATTTGAAGAAAATAGGGTTTGATTCAACAGATGTATATTTTATGATATGTTCTCCTGTCATGTTCTTTACAACCTTCAAATGTCCATCAACCTTCGGATCGAAACAACCATGTAAGGAGAAACTAGTTTTTGATTCAACGGACAATACAACTGCAACCATGTAAACGAACACAAAAACGGTGTTTTTCAACAGGAAACCAACAACCACATTTATAAAAACATATGTTTTAATCATGTCTATGTATGGTTTTTAATTTAACATATATTATATATGTTTAGTGTGTTTCTGTGGTCTATATAGTTTCATATATGATTTCATGTGCTGAATACTCCCAACCCGGCCCAAACAACGTGCCACAATGTGCCGCGTCTCCTCTGCAGGAAAGAGGTTTGGGATCTCCCCAGTGTTCAGCAAGTTGTTGACGTCCTCCACAAAGCCTTCGTCCTGGACATGTGCAACGAACATCCATCATGAAGAACAAATAAATCCGATTGGATAATCATGGATCACTGGTTGGTGGTTTTTTCAACCCCTCTGAAAAATGATGGAGTTCGTCAGTTGGGGTTACTATTCCCAATATATGGAAAGTCATAATCCATTCATGTTCCAAACCACCAACCAGATCAATTTAATGTCGGTAAAACAACAATAAACCATCCATTTGGGAATGGTAAACATACCAGCTATAAAAATGGTGATTTGAGGGACGCTTTATTATTGCTATACCCACATTAGATAAAATGGACCGCAATATCTGGGTAAATTATAGCATGTCATTTCACTAATCTGAATGTGGCCATTTGGCGATGATTCTCTTCTTAATCAGATAGTATTCAGATCACATCATCAAAATATCATCAAAAAGGGTTGCCTGCTCCACAAAGATCTGTCCTTGATCTGGGTGTCACTGAAGAGGAAAATCGTTCGTTCCTCATTTCCGCCCGCTTTCGTGAGCATCTTCTTCATATCCTGCCATGGTAATCATGCTGTTCGTTCTGAAGCTACATCTGTGGATTTTGTTTGGGGTTGCACACATCAACCGGCGGTTGAAGATGGGTTAGACAGCTGAAACCATCTCTGCCTCTCGGAAAGCGGACATGTCATAGCCCTTGGCAATCTCTATCTGGAAGACTGTGAAGTCGGCCATGTAGCAAGCCTAACTGCAATCGAACAAATCACCATTCCATACCATTCCCAATCCTATCTCCATCACTGTTCATGCGGTTTCATCGCAGTTGAATTGTAGACTGGGAGTCTGGGACCTGCCAAGGTTGGTTCTCTTGGTTTAACATAATCCAGTTGGCCAACCTGTGATACTTCATATTCCTCTATTTATAGCCCAACCTTCATACTGTGAACCTCTGTTTATTTATCCAGCTTGTGTGTGTGTGTGCCACAACTTATAACTACCATAGGTGTAATCCAACATTAATCATATACACTGCACACATGTAATAACATGTGTACACACGCACCTAATATTGTATGTACATAATCTATATATATATATACAATATTCATACATTCATACATGTATATTATATATATACATATATATATGTATATATGTATATGTGTGTCTTATCTATTTAGTTATTTCATGATAAGCAAAAATCGATGTGTACAACATTTTTTTATTTTAATAGTGGAGTTTCCATTCTTATTTTTTCCATATGTTATAGATGATTGTCCCACAACATATTTATACCGCCAAGAAGCCAAGCGCGTGCAACTCTGACGTCCGGAGCCGCCCAAGCCCACCTGGAGTCCCAGCAAGACATGCCATGATCAAACGTGGTAGAAAAAGGGTGTGGTTTCCCATCACTGTTGGAACCCTTATACTGGATACTATATCATACATATATATATATATGAATTTACATTAGACATGTACATACATGTAATGTATAATAGTGTATTAATATTATTCTACAGTATTAATGTAGAATAATGTAAAATAATGTATAATAATTATTAATGTATAACAGTCTATCATAGAGTATTCTCATGTACAATAATGTAAAATAATGTATGATACGAGTAATGTATAACAGTGTATCATAGTGTATCATCATGTACAACAATGTAACAATATGTATAATAGTGTATAATGTATAAGTTGTATAACAATATAAAATAATATAAAATAATGTGTAATAATGCGCAATACTATGTACAGGTAATATACATATAATATTATATAAGGTACAACAGATATACATCTTACATGATATACCTGTGTGGGAGATATGTAACATATGCCAAATGGGGGGATGACCATCCATGACCACAACGGGACCCCTGAGTGCCCCAGCCAGCAGGGCATTTCCACCTGGGCTCTTAATCACCCGCGCCACGCGGGCCAAGTGTTCCAGCCTCGAGCGACCCACAGCGCAGCGACGCGAAACGTATGGGAAAATCCCATGCAAATGGAGGCTTTATAGCTGGGAAAATCGTTCAGAAATGGAGGGTCTATAGCTGGGAAAATCAAAATCATCAACTAGAAATGGAAGTCTATAGATGGGAAAATCATCGTAAATGGTAGATTTTCCAGCAAGCCACGTTTGAGGACACCGGAAGGTATGGGGATTTACAAGCCACCATGGGGAAGTAGAATGGAGATTTTACCAGCTGATTTATGGTTATTGTCAAACAATGTGGGGGAAATTAAGATGGAAGAAACGACGGATAAGCAAACATGGGCAATTTATAACGCTGGGGATAGTTCATGGGATACAACTACCATCAATTTGATATGTCGTTTTTGGAAAATGATGATAAGTCATTGGGTTTGCGGGGTCCAAATTTAGAAACAATCCCATATGGTTCAAAGCGATTGGGACGATCATCTTGAGCCATAGCCAAACCTAAATGTTGCTAATGAATGGATGAAGAGCATCCAAAAAAATGGCACCCTAGCTGTGATGATGTCGTATCCCAACTCAATGTTCCAGCCATTTTTTGGCTTTTCTGTGGCTAACTAGTGAAACCCCCAAGATCCTAGTCGGAAGTTGGCCAGTGTCATCCCAGCTATACCAGCCATCCCAGCTATCGGAACCCAGCGGCATGTAGAGGAAACATACCAAATCCATGGGTTTGGAGGACATCTCATTGTAGCTCACCAAATGTGCTTCAATTTCCTCGCGAAGAAACAAAAACAACGGAAGGGATTGGTTCAAAAAAAAGCGGATTCTGTTCGAAATGGTCTTTGAATGCGTTTGTGACTCGATTATCCAGAAAACGAACCAATAGTGATGGATCTCGGATGTTTAATCCTGGATAATTTGACATGTGAACTTATGTGAACTTTGAGAACTGGCACGCAAAACCAAAACTGGCAGGGAAAAACGTCTTCTCATTCAGGTTTTGTGTATCATAATCCCAAAAAAGAGAGACACATATATTGTCACTGTTTTAAGGTTGCTATGCTCTGTTCAGCAATCTAGCTCAGATTTGCTCAGACTCGTCCCAGACTGTCCAGGATTGGTCCAACAATCCTCACCATGCAGCGTTTGAATTCCCAATTGATAGGTGGGTAGGCAGGAATTTCACAATAAGAAGCCACTAATTACCCTCCCATACAATGTGGAGAATCCCACTAGTTGTAGATCGTTTACGAACGGGATTCACCAATGGTTTTCCACATCTATATCAATTTATAGCTATGAACAATATCAATGGATGAGTTTTTAAAATATATATATATAGATATGGGTTTTCCATAAATGGGGGTACCCCTAGTTTTCATCCATTTTGTTTATATATGGGATTTCCCATCAGTTCACAGCGATTTTTCCATTGCTTAACGGCTAATTGCTGCTTGATCTGCCTTCTGCAGCACGGCCACATCAGGACACCTCAGGGGTGCAGATGCTCATGCTGATTCTAGTTACAGTAGTCGTGTGAAAAATTACCCAGGGATTATCCCATTCATATCCATTTCGAAAACCCACTTATGTCTCATTTATATCCCGTGAATATAGGGTTTGGAGGGTTCAAATAGCTTCTGAGAAGCTGTTGGCAAGTTCAGGAAGAAAAACAGATCTGGAAGGAGCCAAATAAGACCAACGACAAACAACCTCGTGCAGTCAGCGATGTAAGGCGCTCATTTGAGAAATTATACATTGAAATTTTATCTGATTCTGTGCGCTTAATCCAAATACTCTAAATAGTGCCACGGAAATTGTTTGATTCTTACGAAAATGCACATACATAATACAACAGAATTACAACAGCTTGGAACGCTGCCCCATCCCATCATCGGCCATACTGGTTTGGATTGATGACCATCTCCCAATGTGGATCACTTGCCCGAATTTTGACTATGAATACTATGGCACAGATTGTCGTAGTAACTTTGTTGTTTATATTGCACATATAGTGATCCTGGAGTGAGTATAGAACATGGAATTGTGATGAATGTTCAAAACATCCTTACATGGGAAAATGATTGAAAGTCCAATGAATATATTGAAATTATACTAATAATAAAGACATGTATATATGTTCCAGAATTCCAACAGCATCCTTGCTGATGCCTACTGATACCAAAAGGAGTTGCAATGATAGTCACCAGACTTCTTCCATAAGTATAGCAATGGCCATAACTGGGAAAATGAATTAGTGATACACACATTGAGCGTGCTACAAACATGTACAAACCATATAATTCAAACAGTTTTCCACATTGGCACTGAACCCCCCCCTTTCGGACCATATTTTTCAGTTTCCATAAGCTCGGCTGGTTGGATCGATTCGGTCGCCTGACCGAGCTATTCATCCATGGCCACATCGAATTGGATCTCGGATTCACTCATCCCAACGATGCCGGCACGCACCACATCTCCAGCCTGGAAAGGAAACATGGGCCTGGATGGTTGGTGATTTATGATTGCCAAGCCCAAATGGAAAAAAACTTCAGTTGGAATGGGTGATCCATGATCAACCCAATCTCTCCGGGTAAAACTAAAAACATGAACATCTTTGAGAAAACACATATACCAAATATGAGAATGGTTGGCTCTCGCTCTCTCTCTCTCTCTCGCCAAATAAGATTTTGTGCAAACATTCCGGCAAAATGGTGTGGCTCAAAGATCTCACGAAAAAAAAAACCTCCGAAAGCTGCGGATCCACCTGAATAGGCCCAACACCTTCAGGTGTCCCTGTGAGGATCAAATCTCCAGCTTCCAAGGTGAAAATCTTGGTGATCTCCACGATCAGCTGCGGTACTTGGAAAATCATGTCCTGAACAAACAGCCGAGCCAAGCCGCGAAAAGAAACGCGTTGCGTGTGTGCAACATATATAAGAAGCATAAGGAATAGAGAACACACTTGTAAAAACATGTAAAAACGGATGCCAACTAATAAGAACTGTATTAAGAGAACAAAAGAATCATAATAACTTTTTAATTTTAACAAGAAAATATATTAAGAACTAATACGAATAATTAAAACTACTAAAAGAGCTGCCACAAGTGAGTAAAGTGAGTATACTAGTATACCATGTGAGACAGCATGTGCTGTAAACTGCTGACCAGTCACATGAACAACACCGGGATGGAACTCACATCTCAACAACTTGCTTGGTACTACCGTTCAGTCACACAAGGTGGAAATGGACGAGTTGAAAATTGGAAGTTGAATCAAATGGATGAGAATAGTGTGTAGTTTAATTTGGTTGCATAATTACATGGATTGATATTTGATAGGTGTTGATACGGTTGTTTAATATGGTTTTAAAGATATAGTCAGGGACAGCCAGTAGGCAGAGTTTGTCCCAAGCAAAACAGATAGCAGATGGGGTACCAATTTGGTTCTGAAAAAAAAAAAACTTTACTTCATAGTGCCAAATCTGCTTACTGGAAAGTGGGAAATCATGAACCCCCCTTTTTGAATTTTTGCTTACTGTAAATCTGGCTTGGAAGATGGCAAAAACGGAAAAAAATCCTATGGTTTACCATTTTGTCCCTTCTTTTGCTGGAAACCAATCAGCCGCACGTTTTCTTCCACATCCTCCCCATTTCTGTGAAATTCAGCAACTTTTGGTTCTCAAACCGAAAAAGAGAGAAAACATGCTGCAAGCAGGGGAACACGAGTCTTGAAACGCAATATAGAAGTTTCTTAGCTATTTCCAAGCCCTTACCAGCAAGCCGGCAGACAAACATTCTACTTCCTACAGGCCTTGAATTTCAGCACCTTTTCATGTTCAAACGAGTAAATAAGCGAAAACATGCCGTAAGTGGAAAAAAAGGTGTCTGGAAACTCAATATAAAATTTCTTAGCTATATCCAGGCCCTTACCAGCTAGAACACAAAGATTCCACTTCCCTCAGTCTTTGAAATTCAGCACCTTCAAATGGGAAGACGCGAAGATAAAATTGCGTTTTGAAACTTATATAATATAGAGGTTTCGGAGCTATTTCCAAGCCCCCACCAGTAAGCAGAATCACCATTCTGCTTTCTACAGCCCTTGCATTTCGGCACCTTTTCAGTTTTAAATTGGTAAATACGAGAATAAGTAGGGTAAAACGCAATTTGAAAATGTATTGAGAGGTTTCTTAGCTATTTGATGCTATTTGCCCCAGAAAAATCAGCAGAATCACCATTCTACTTCCTACAGTCCTTGAATTTCAGCACCTTTTCAGTTTCAAATTGGTAGAAAGAAGGAAACATGCCGTAAGAGGAAAAAAAGGTGTCTGGGAACTCAATATAGAGGTTTCTTAGCTATATCCAGGCCCTTGCCAGCAAGAAGACAAACATTCCACCTCCCTCAGTGACTGAAATTCAGCACCTTCAAATGGGAAAACGCAGAGGAAAAATCTGTTTTGAAACTTAATATAGAAGTTTTTGAGCTATTTCCAGGCCGCAGCCAGTAAGCAGAATCACCATTCTGCTTACTACAGCCCTTGAAATTCGGCACCTTTGCATTTTCAAATGGGACAATACGAGAAGAAGTATATAATGGTTCTTAGCTTTTTTGCAGGCCTCAAGAAACCAGCAAAATCACCATTCTACTTTCTGCGGTACTTGAATTTCAGCACCTTTTCGTGTTCAAACGAGTAAATAAGCGAAAACATGCCGTAAGTGGAAAAAAAAGGTGTCTGGAAACTCAATATAAAGGTTTCTTAGCTATATCCAGGCCCTTGCCAGCAAGAAGACAAACATTCCACCTCCCTCAGTGATTGAAATTCAGCACCTTCAAATGGGAAAACGCAGAGGACAAATATGTTTTGAAGCTTAATATAGAAGTTTTTGAGCTATTTCCAGGCCCCAGCCAGTAAGCAGAATCACCATTCTGCTTATTACAGCCCTTGAAATTCGGCACCTTTGCATTTTCAAATGGGACAATATGAGGATACGAGGAGTAGGCGATAAAACGCGCTTTGAAAATTAATTTAGATGGTTCTTAGCTATTTGCATGCCCCAAGAAATCAGTAGAATCACCATTCTACTTCCTACATTCCTTGAATTTCAGCGCCCCTGTGGTTTCCAAATGGGAAAATAAATAAGAGAAAACCTGCCGTACGTAGAAAAAAAGGTGTCTAGAAACTCAATATAGAGGTTTCTTAGCTATATCCAGGCCCTTGCCAGCAAGAAGACAAACATTCCACCTCCCTCAGTGATTGAAATTCAGTACCTTCAAATGGGAAAACGCAGAGGAAAAATCTGTTTTGAAACTTAATATAGAAGTTTTTGAGCTATTTCCAGGCCCCAACCAGTAAGCAGAATCACCATTCTGCTTACAACAGCCCTTGAAATTCGGCAGCTTTGCATTTTCAAATGGGACAATATGAGGATACGAGGAGAAGTAGGCGATAAAACGCGCTTTGAAAATTAATTTAGATGGTTCTTAGCTATTTGCATGCCCCAAGAAATCAGCAGAATCACCATTCTACTTCCTACAGTCCTTGAATTTCAGCGCCTTGTGGTTTCCAAATGGGAAAACAAGAGAAAACCTGCCGTACGTAGAAAAAAAGGTGTCTGGAAACTCAATATAGAAGTTTCTTAGCTATTTCCAGGCCCCCACCAGTAAGCAGAATCACAATTCTGCTTCCTACAGCTTTTGAAATTTGGTTCCTTTTCGTTTTCAAATTGGAAAATAAGAGAAAACATGTTGCAAGTAGGGGAAAACGCGCTTTGAGACTATAAACATTTTGTAGCATATATATATTTACACACACACTGTACATGTATGTATATATATATATACACTGTATATGTATGTATATATATGTATTTACGTATGTAAATATATATGCATATATAAATGTATATGAGTGTGTGTGTGTGCGCCTTGGCCTTTCAATTTTTCTTACTCAAAACTAGACACTGCTGGGTGTGTTTTTTTATTGTGATCTTGGGCAGTTGAGGCCATCAGGAACGCGAATGCAGTAAGCAGAATTAAGTAGATGAAAAATTATCCACCGGTTATCACGATATGATTTTCTGCTTACTGGGGGGGTCAATTGGCTCAAGTTCAGCACTCCGACCCATAAGCCTCTGAATCAAAACCCCGAATATCGACCAAATTTAGCCAATTTCCATATGCAGTAAGCAGGAAAGTCTCTGCCTACTGGATCTCCTTTACTATATATCTCCAAACTTCCAAACTGATGGTGAAAAGCAAAAAAACAAACAATATCCAAGTATCCACTGGACATCTTTCAACCATCTTGCCTGAGAAAGAATGTGCAAAAGACATCCTATATATCTATATGTTCCCTCTTAGAATGATCATTTTATGTGCATCTTCAGACACACCACCCAAATGTGAGCTTCCTAGATTTTTCAATGCATTAGTTTATGCAAAAATCTACAGGAATTTCTGCTTTTCACCCCCCAACCAAAAATATATCCAGGTTTTCCTGCGAAAAAGAAACTGATCAACTGCCCATCTTTCGTACTTTTCCATCTTCTACAATGTGGGGCCCCCCAGTGATGTGAACGTTGGTTTATAAAACCCCATGAATACTATGGTCATAAGTAGAATATAGTAGAATAAACCATAGTTATTGGAGTTATGTGAACCCCAACTGAACGCTATCCATTTTACGGGGGCCCCACATCTTCCTTCATGGTTTTCCACCAGGATATCCCTAGAATTTTCCCCTCTCCTTGGTGTGTCCACGCTGCCTCTCGGTGCCATTCACGCTGCAGAAGAGTTCCACACCGTGAGGCTCTGGCACTTTCGCTTTGTCGATGAAGGAACCCACTGGAGTGAAGTGATCCTGTCCAGGTTGCACCATATGATTGTATATGTACTACTGTAATATATATATATATAATTATAACTATATAATATACTCTTAAGTATACTTGTGATATGATATAAATACGAGTCTTATATTATATTAATACATCATATACAATCATATACATTATCATTATACTGTACATACAATTCATCTCCCAGATTCCCCATGTCTCCCTTGTTGAACCTCCCATCTCCCATCATGCCATCTGCGGCCACGCGTCATATCCCTTGGGAACCGACCACGGCAGTCCGCGCTCTTTGGCCGATGTTTGAAGATCCCTCGCCGTGAGGTCCAAAGCCACGGTGTAGCCTGGAGATTTTATCACCGAAAGGACTGCTGGTGTGCAACTTAAAAACCCACGGTTTCAAAAGGAGGGAGAAGCGGCCGAAATCATCGAAATGGAGGAAATCTATAATGTGAACAGATTATAACATATATATATAATATATATATATTATATACAGTACGTTTTTGGGACTTTGATGGTGTTAAAATGAAGGATGCCTCAACTGGTTCGCTGACTGTGCCATCTTCTTGGATGCTACGACTCGTACGACATGATACACCCCACTCAATCAAAATTCCATGATCTTCCATGCAGAAATGTTGGAAATAGTTGGAAATCAATGTCCAATAGCCTTTGATTGTTGTATATATATATTATACTGTATACTTACATCATCTTAAATCCCCTAAGTTGGCCAGTTGCATCCTCAATATGGTTATATAAGTTTCAAAGCCTAAATATCCCAGATAACCCATGTTGGTTGTGTCCAAATGTTGGTCAATGTCCAAAAAAACTGGGTGGTTAACAACCTGCATCTACCACAGCCGTCAAGATTGATCATTTTGTGGTACTGGTACACGGTACAGCAGGTAAAAATCCCTTCATTCCCATGCAGCGCCTGCTATGACCTCCATAGCTCTGGACTCAGGTACCCGCCTGACAGGCTTCTGCAGCCCGAGACTGTTCATAGAAAATCACCAAAGATGCACAGTTCAAATATGCAAGTCTACTATGAAGTAGTTGGAAAACACGATCTGTGGCTCCAATTGATTCCCCATTTAAAAAGGTAATATGGATGCTGGATACCCATAACATCCCATACAAACAGCTCCCTAAGCACCAAACAGGAAAAGAAGTGCCACCAGGTTGCTTGCAGCGTTGACCAATGACAATGCCAAGCTCTACCTGTACTGAGTGGGTTTTTCACAAATTTCCAGGATATCCAATTCATATTGAAATCAAATTGAAAGATTATAAGATGTTATAAGTAAAACCTAGCCAATATCTAAACATACCTCAACACCAATTGAAAGGTATAAATAAAAACCCTGCTCAATATGGTCAATTGTTGACTCGTGCCATGATGACTTTCAACAGAAAATGTCACCCTTCGTGCCATCAGAGCCTCGTGGTGCACGGGTCCGATGTCTTTGGGAAGCAGAATGGGCCCCTGACCTGGGCGCATTTAGAATGCGCTTTTAGTCAAGGCTTGTCCCAGTGAAGCCAGAAATTTGGGGCCCAGCCTCCGGTGTCCTCGATCAAACACGGCGAAAATAGCCATAAAAACAGCTGAAATCTTCTGAAAGTTTCTGGCTGGGGGGAAATCATCTAGACATGGGGAATTTTCCAGCCAAATTTGATTACTGGACTGGACTGGTCTTTTGGATATGGGTCACGAATGAACTGAAACCCAACCTTTGACATAGAGGTAAACTGAAGACCAAGTCATTCCAGACTTGGCATTGGGGTACCTGCGTTTGATCCCCCAATTGAAAATGTCTAAAACATCACAATGATGGTCCACCAATCGCTGCGAAACCAAACGGCCCCATAGCTGGGGCCCTCTCATTTCCCATCTCATGTGCCATGTGCTAGTCCTGCATTTGGAAAAGTAGTATGGAAAGATGGAAAAAGGAATCATGTGTGATTTCCATACTACTGTTCCATTTCTATTGTTTTCCATCATCTCATGTGTGATTGTTGATTTCCATTGCGTCTAGTACTTACCCTGAAATCAGGTAGCCCAAAATCAGTAGATCCCGTATTCAACCAGGGTTTCTGCGGGCGTGTCGAATGTTAGGAAGGGATTGCCAAGTCCACCAAACACGTCTTGCATTAGTCATTTGTGACATGACAGGCTCATGACAGGTCCTAGTGTCACTTTTTTTGACATCTACCGTCATCTACCCCAAATTTCACTAGATAACTTCCTTCGCCAGGGCACCCATTGGAAGATAAGATGTGGTCGGCTTCAAAAACAGCACGGGCACCTTTGGCCCTTCAGAGATAAACTTCTCATCTTTGCTGCTGCCTGGCGCTTGGAAGATGGCTTCAATCCCAACTTCTTGTTGATTTTTTACTATCTCAAATGAACTGTTCATGGGGAACAAAAAACATGGAAAACTACCATCTGACAAATGGCGCAAATGGCGCAAATGGCGCAAATGGCGCAAAGGGGACGTCCATGGACACCTAGAAGATCAGACAAAGCAAAACTTCGCGGCACCTATTTGCGCCATCTCAGCCACATGCTTCCGGTAGTTCTTTCCGACGGCCACAATTTTCCTGGCACCGTTGGCTGCGGGTTTCGGTGACACAGTGAATCACTCTGCCGGCCTCCCGGTCTCAACGAAAGTCGCCATGGCGAAGCTTGGAACAGCTAATATAGGCTACAGTTTATAGCGATTCCTTTTCTTTGTGCTGCGTATACATACTAGGTCACACGGTGGATCCACAGTATCAACACGAACATTTTTTCTGATCCTGGAAGTTTAAAGTGGCCAAGCAGATCTCAGGAAGTCAAAGTATTCAAAACCTGGTTGCCGCCTCAAATTGTTATCTAACAAAGCTGATAGATTTTCACCTGAGCAGTTTGCCGCATCGCAAATGGCAGCGGCTATGGCTCCAAAGTGTGGCACCCATGACCCATCAATGCCAAGTTTTGGAGTTTTGGGTTGTGGGTCCCACATGCAAAGACATCATCGCCATCACTGCCACTGACCGTCACTGACCCCGCTGTGGCTGGCACTCGGTGTAGGGCCGCTGTGGGATCGAGGCAGGTGACAACATGTCCCCGAAGAAGAGGGTACGAACCTGGCGAAACTTTGTGCAGACATCCCCTTGGCGCCACTTTGTGCAGACTCGGAACTTCAAAAATGAAGCATTGACCATGTTCACCCAAAGTTGACCCCGAGATGTTCAGATTCTCTCTCCAATCAGAGTGGAGAATGGTCACCGCTGCGAGCCAAAAAAAAACAGGCACAAAGGGCACCTCGTCCAGTGTATTGACCTGTCATTTTTGAACACTGATTCCACTGGACCGCATCTGTTAGACATTGTTAGACTATCTCTGGTTGGTGGTGCAATAACCATCTTGAAAAATATGAAAGTCAATGGGAAGGATTATCCATGATTATCGCATATATTATGGAAAATAAAAAATGTTCCAAACCACCAATCAGATCTGTTTGATCGAAAACATATTGAATGAGCTTCACTGAGGTTTTTTCGGGATGAATCTCAAGTGACACAGAAAAGCTGCAGGGTTTCGAAACTATCGAAAGGCCTTTCCATCCTTGTTGACATCCAGGTGAATCATGATCTCATCAAACGAAACCTGCAGGGCTGCCAGTGACAAAGCATGACTTTGCGACTTTGCGAACTGGAAAATCACCATGTCAAATAAAAACGGCTTCAATCATTCGAAGTAAATGGACCATCGAACTACCATAGCTCACAAAATGCCAGTACCCCTTGGTAATTTATGGTATAGCTATGGTATAGCTATGGTATAGATGGCCCTTTCGTTCGATGATTCACCTATACAAAATGGAGGTTTTCTAAGCCATCCAGCTATTGGGGTACCCCTATGACTTCGGAAAGCCCTAAATGGATAAGTTGTACCCCATGGTCCCTGCCTGGAAATTCTTTTTCGTCTGCTCGCGCAACTGGTGCCTAGAAGTGCCAGAGTTTTTAAGCACTGCCAGGGCACCACAGTTTCACATTCTCTCCTTTTTAAACGATTCATTGCAGTAACATAGACCTATCATAGTGGTTTTGAATTGGGACTTTTGCCAATTGTTTGGGGTAATGACAAATCGAGGGTATAAGAACATCGAGTAATGTGGTTAAAACAACAATAAACCACCCATTTGGGAATGGTTTATACCACCTATTTATGGTGAAATTGGGGATGGTTCACTACTGTTTTAACCGCATTAATCATGATTTTTCCATCCAATCAAACTGAAATGCCCGAAGACTTGACACACAATGACTGGAGTTCCCGGACATCATCCACTCGCGATCTGTGTCATCAATCAGGCGGTCACCAAAGACCCGAAGGATTTCCTTAGTGGAATTCCCATGAGAATGACCATGGTCCACTGCTATTGCGAACATGTCATCACTGGGGAGCTTGCGATGGGATCAAAAATTGATCCATCGACTTGACGAAGAGCCAGTCTCTGTGAAGTGACTTGGAATAGTTTCTTAAGCACATCGCGTGTAGTGAAGAAAATTGATTCACCAAATTCACCCTGGATTGAGCATGATTTAGGCTCCCTAAACATCCCATAATATCTTATTTTCATTCCCCATCAAACCACTCATATCGACCATAAGAGACTGGTTTATCAAAAGAATGGAGCTTCCAGAAATGGAGGTAGCCCGGGTACCCCAATTTGTGGATGGTTTATTTCATAGAAAATCCTATATGGATCTATATGATATCACTGGATGCTGTAGGGGTATCCCCACTTCAGAAAATTTCAACTTTTTGTTGCTGAGCATCATGTGCCCAGAGTCGAACGTGGCGACTGGCGCCTGGCGAGGGGAAACAGCTGAGACATCTCCAAGACGTGAAGCAGATGGATTGAAATGATATAGCAAGCCCCAAAAAGACTTCGAAACGTCATTCATAATTACTGTACTGAAATAGGTGTTCACTGGATTTTATACGGACAAAATACTATATTAATCCAGTATTCTATATCCACTATATATACTGTATATTGTATTTTTGTTGATCTTTTTTGGTGCGTGCTTTTTCCCTCAAAACAGTGCCCAGGTCGGCCGTCGCACTCGTTCTTTTTCAGCAACAGGACCTCAGCTCGCGACGCTGCCACGGTGCGACGAAAAACATGCGCGCTGCCACGGTCGCCGAGTCACGCCACAAATGACTTTGGAGAAATCGCGCAAGTTGAAGGTATAGTGCACCTGGATGGAATTGGAATTGGGATTTTGGAACTTGAATCTTGCCCAAAGATACTTTGTTCAGACTTTTTAGCGTCCCCAAAGATATTTCGTTTTTACCAGCGTGCTTGCAGTGTTTCTGATCATTTCTGAGCTGTAAAACTTATACGGTGAAACTGAGCCAGTGGAGCTCCAGCAATGGATTCCTGCATCATGCGCCACTGGCCAGCCCGCCTTCATGGGTGTTGGTCGCAACTCCGAGGACCTAAACGCTCCGTCGTGACGTGATCGACTCTCCAAGGACAAATAAACATGGCTGAATGTCCCAAAATCATGTTTTTGTTCATGGTTGTTCTATGTTTTTCTACGTACTTGGAAGATCTTAGTGTCGTGTGATGGGGCATGAAATCCATTCAATAAACAAAAACATACCATGCAAAAAACATCAGAGATGGTTCCACGTAAGCGCCAGCCGTTGGTGGTTGTAATGGGTGGCTTTTCATTGGATATCATTGGATACTTCATGTAGTATGATTGGTAAAGTCTGAAGAAAATCTGAAAAATATGTCAAGTTGATGCAGTATCCGATTCCGGATGCCGAAAATTGCCCGTGTTTTTTTTTCAGGCATCTTACATCCATTTACTGGCAGCAACCCTGGCAGCAACCCTTGCCATCGTCGAAGCCACGTGTTCTTGTAGATCTCCAACGTTGCCTGCACCATCTTCTTACTCAACGCAGCAACCTCTGTAGGATAATTCTCCGCCTGACCAGTCAACAGGCTTGCGCAACCCATCACCCCAAATAAAAACTGGGAAGATCAAAAAGTAAAATGACCAGACATGACCCAATGACATCCCAATGACCAAGTTGCCCCCAAAAAAAAGATGTAGCTGCAGCCAGCTCGTTATGGCTCGTTTTCAATCCTTTTTAGTCTGCCTATCGAGTCGATCAGAGATATCCATCATGAACAATAGCTATCAGAGGTCCTCCAACTGCGAAAAATCTGGAGCTTTCCTAACCTGGTGGTCCCCCAAATCCAAAATCGACCGTTTATCGACCGTTTTAGTACCCCCAGTACCCCCATTTTAAGAAACTCTCATATATGACCCTGGCAGCCGCATGGCATCCCCCACCCTGAACTTCCACTCCAGGATGGTATTGAAGATCTGCCTCAGATCCGTAGAGGTTCGGCTCTCTGTCGGATCCAAAGACTCTAAGAGGACAAAGTCATCTATAGATTCTATAGATCTATCCTACTATAGCTGAGTTTGTTTGAACATATAGCGCACCCAACTCTGGTTCACCATCAGTCTCCCCCATCAAAATCATGCGTATCATGCGTATTTTGTCTTATAATCTAAGGAGGTTCACCCATATATAATCCCATATATAAACGGGATAATCAACGAATTGGAAACTTTAACCAACCAGCTGAACCACTCAGTGAGAAAAATCCTCAACCACCTTTGGACACCGGGGCCAGGGGCATCATGTTGTCATCGTCCAGCAGTGGGAAGCCCACCAGGTACATGTGGCCCAGTATCTGCGCCGGCATCATCAAACAGACGATTTTTTTTCGTGTGTGAATCCCAAGGATATCCTACCAGTAACAGTAATAATAATTCATCACCATTATATGCTATCTAGTATTACCATGTATTACCTATTAGTGACGAATAATGTTTTTTTTTGTAGGGTCACTGATAATAGTGACTAGGTATGTCATCTTCAGCAAATCCAAGGTATCTCAGAGGTGTTCAAGTTATCTCCTCATAATTAAGAATGAAACTAATATATATATATATATATATGAGGAGATAACCAATAAAACTAATATATATGAGGAGACAAACTAATATATCCTGATACTAAGTATACGTATATGTTTGTCATCGTCGAAGCGAAGGTACCAGGACGAAATACTGACTGGAGACATGAAGGACATGAAGGATATGACCGTCCAACTCCATTGGGGCCTTGCATATAATAACCTACCAAGTCAGAATTGTTGCTAATACCTTCCGGTAATCCAACAATGGCTATGGACAACCCCTTCAGCGAATTGGAGGTTTCTAGCTGTGAAAATCAGCCAAGCCACTCTGGGTGTGATGAAGTTTCGACCACCTCCAGGGGGTCCCATGGCTGCAAAGTACAAGACCTGCCAGGCTTTGTTCATAAAATGGAGGGTCATCCCAGTAAGTGGCTGGGCAGAGCTTCACCTTATAGTCTGAAAATAGTGTACCCCTACACCCAATGGTTAATGATCATTATCCCTACTAAATGGCTATAATTGGGGGTATACCCCATTTTCAGACATACCTATTCATAGTTTTCTAGCTTAGAACTGGCTAACTGATGGAACAAAAGGCTAGCTAGTAACTCCCATCACCACTGAACCGCTCAAAAATTTGGATGATCCAAGTGGGGCCCGTGGCACAAGTGGTCGAGCATTTTAGGCTTTTACAAAGTCACATGTTTAAAACAAAAAACATGACCCCATACTATACGGAAACCAGTGCTTTTGGGGAAAGCCAATTTAAGAAACATTCAAATGGCTTTGAGTGAATATAGGCTGCCTCCAAATTTCACACTTCATCATCTTTCTTCCATTTCAAATTGTAATTTTGGAGGTGTAGCATGCAAAAATATAAACACCATCAATAAGACATCACATTTAATGATAAACTATAACATGTATGAACTCATCAAATTTCATCATACCCCCCATTTTTTCAGACCCAAATCAATGAAACCATTCGGCTGCACCGCCACTGAGGATGGCACATCGATGATGCTACGGAAAGGATGAGTGGCGTCCTGCTGATTACCATGGCTTTACCATGGCAAAACCATGGTAAAACCATGGTAAAATCATGGTAAAACCATGGGAAATTCACGGTAACACCATGGGAAAATCATGGTAACACCATGGGAAAATCATGGTAACACCATGGGAAAATCATGGTAAAACCATGGTAAAATCATGGTAAAACCATGGTAAAATCATGGCAAAACCATGGTAAAACCATGGGAAAATCATGGTAAAACCATGGTAAAACCATGGTAAAACCCAATAATTACTCTTAAGTTCAGCACCATTCTTCCCCATAGTTGCTCCATAGTTGCTTGAGGTAATAAAATGTCAAACCCCAAAACAACACTGGGTTTGTTAATGCTGAAATGGCTTAGCCTTGGGACCCTCAGAGACTGCCGCAGCAGCAGTCCTTGCGATCAAACCAACCTCCTGTGGGTCCATAGGCTGTCGCATCCTGGGTGGAGCTGTGCTCCCCGTCGAAGCGGTCGTGTTTTTGATGAGATACATCTCAAAACGATATGATAATACTATATACCACTAGATAGAAGAGTACAAATATGATCAAATATGATATATTATAGGAATATAACAGGTGGAGAACGTGCTGTATAATTATAATAATTGATAAATGATTGTTGATTGGTTCTAGGGGAAATTGCCGACCATATATTGATCACCAAACAGTAGGATATACTATGAGTTGAATATGTCAATAATTAACTAACATCGACTAACTATGTGTCACATTAAATGATACATCATGATACCTCACAACAAACAGCGAAAGAAAAACGTTAATGCATGAACTTTGCTGTTTTATGGTCCTGTTGATCTCAACTCATGGTTGCAGTGGCTGATGACCATGCTTGTCATATCGTTACACCTTCATGTTTGCTTTGAGTTTGCCTTTTCAGGGCTGACGAAATAGATGGTCAGTGATTTCATGACTGTAAATCACGGAAACCAGCACACACCAACGGAGAAAGGGTCATAATATCATATAATCTTACTTACAGTTTGGTGCCAAGAAGTCTCCAGCTGAAGGAAAAGGGAAGTTTCCGTTTTTTGCCAGAAGGTAAGTGCACCACCATGCTCTGGCGTAGGATCTCGATGGGCGGCATAGCACCAAATCGCTCCTGGTGAAGCATCTGATATGGACTGTATGGACTTGTCTGGCGAAGTGTAGTGGAGCATGATATGTATGTATATATATAATGTATGGCACAGGGTCAATAATTCGTATGTATGTGTAACTATATAATTATATATATACATACAATATATGTATATAGTCGGGTTTTAAATGAAGCCTACGGCTGTGTAATCCATTTGCCAACGATTTAATGTGCCAAGCCACATAGATTCCGTGGCTGATGGATAAATGATGATAATCCCCATTAGTCTACTGTAAACTGTATAGATAAATGAATATAATTAATTAGATCCAGTAGATAAAATATGATAAAATGATAAATGATAATAAATGATAATAAATGATGATAGATGATAGTCCGAAAAATGATAAATAATGATAGATCAATGAATGAAAAGTATTGAAAAGTCCTGGCATGTGACCAGGGCCCCAGGGCGATGCGACTTCTCCAACCCGTCCTTCACCGGCATGTTGAGATCATCCACCATAACCACGCAGGTACGACCTTTAAAACAGCAGCCGTGCAAAGCTCATGGAGCAACTGAGCTTCCTGCTGTCCTTTAAAACGGCTACAGTAATTGTAGGGATGTGATGAAGTCAAGACTACCGCTCATTCTCGTAAGTATAGATATTGATAGTGTATTTTTGCTTACTTTTTTGGTTGTTGAGTAGGATGTAGGGAAGGTGAATATGACGCTGTCATTCCTCGTGCCGCCGAAAGCTGGACATAGCTGGACAGTCAGGGCAAGGCTCCCACCCATGGGAGGACCATAGACACCTTTCCGTCGACGTTCCAATTTTGCATCGATCAAATCCTGGCGAAAGATCCAATCGCAGCATATCGCAGCCTGCAGTTGAATTCCAATTGAATCCCAGCAATCCTACAGATGCGTCATGGATCATCATGGTGCATCATAAGACGTACTTGTGGGTGAACTTCCAATTAGAAGTGGAAAAAAATTACTTCTGGATGTTATAATTATTGGACCGATCTCCCAACGGTGCTTGGAATCCCAAGCGCACATTGTGATGGTCCGCGTGCTCCGCTCCTGAGTCTGGGAGCACTTGGTCTGGGCACTGAAGCCGATCTGGATCGACATGTGCGTCTCTTTGGGCATGGCCATCAAAACCTTGCGACAGTGCCATGCAGATGCGCGACACGTGTGGTTTTTTTGATGCTGCAAGAATATCTCCAAAAGGCACAACAACCTTGGATATATTGAATACATTTGGAATTGGGATATGAATTTGCATATGTCTATGAAATTTGGTTGGAAGTTGGATACGACAAACATGTCCACTTTCTGGCCTGCTGCATGTAGACCGTTTTGCCTAAGCACTGCGGAAGTGAAATTCCCCCGACTCTGTGTTGAAGCATTGAACAGATTTCAGCAGTCCGTTTCAATATTTGGAACCCCAAAAGCCAATGATTCTGGTAATCAATATTTTGGATTTTGCGGTTCCATATTTGATTTGATGATGCATATCATTGTTGATCCAATATGATCCATATTTGATTTGATGATGAATATTATCATATTATTGATTTGATGATCCATATTTGATGATCCATATTTGATGATCCATATTGATTTGATGATCTCTATTATTATTGATTTGATGATCCATATTTTCCATATGTTTCCGCAGTTCATGGCATCTTTGGGGAGACAAAACCCAAATCAGATATCCTGAGCGCTCCCAACCTGTCCCAGTGGGGCCACAGAACAGCAATTTGATGCGCTGCTGAATGCCTAGGCTGTCGAAAAAATCGATTGAAAAGCCATGGAAATCCTGTTGGTTATGGTTGGTTCATGCAAATTCCCAGATCATGACAATACTGACAATATCTGGTTGGTGGTTTGAACCCCTCTGAAAAATATTAGTCAGTTGGGATGATTATTTCCAATATATGGAAAAATCAAAAAATGTTCCAAACCACCAACCAGATACACCCGGGTAGTCTTAACTCCCAGCCAATCGGGGCGTTCCAAACTGCCCCGAACCAAGCTGCAATGCTCCAGAATGTGGCGATAGCGAACCTCAACATATGGTTTTAACCAACGTGTTCGAAGCTGTTGCGCATAGATCTGTTTGAATAGATTGACGTGCATCACTATATATATATATAAATAAATAATATAAACAATAGAAAGAAAAAAATATAAATTACTTCACTTCGAATGATCCCCACCATGGCATTTATATATTTTCTTACTGGCAAATCTTCTGGCATTCTATCTGACATATCTTCTGGCATTCTATCTGGCATTCTATCTGGCATATCTTCTGGCATATCTTCTGGCATTCTATCTGGCATTCTTCTGGCATTCTGGAATATCTGGCATATCTATCTGGCATATCTTCTGGCATATCTTCTGGCATTCTATCTGGCAAATCTGATGGCATTCTATCTGGCATATCTTCTGGCATTCTATCTGACATATCTTCTGGCATTCTATCTGGCATTCTATCTGGCATATCTTCTGGCATATCTTCTATTCTGCATATCTTCTGGCATTCTTCTGGCATTCTATCTGGCATATCTTCTGGCATATGTTCTGGCATATATTCTGACATATCTCTGGCATTCTATCTGGCATATCTTCTCTATCTTCTGGCAAATCTTCTGGCATTCTATCTGGCATATCTTCTGGCATTCTATCTGACATATCTTCTGGCATTCTATCTGGCATATCTTCTGGCATTCTATCTGGCCGTTGAGGTCCGGCAGTGCCCACTGCGATCTGGAAGTCGCGGTTGAGGCCCGGCAGTGCCCACTGCGATCTGGAAGTCGCGGTTGAGGTCCGGCAGTGCCCACTGCGATCTGGAAGTCGCGGTTGAGGTCCGGCAGTGCCCACTGGAGCTCGCGGTGGAGGTCCGGCAGTGCCCACTGGGATCTGGAGCTCGCGGTGGAGGTCCGGCTGTGCCCACTGGGATCTGGACTGCGAGCAGGAGGACGAGGAGGAGATGGAGGAGGAGGCGGAGGAGGAGGAGGAGAACAGCTCTGATAGAATCTAACAACCCTCACCTGGCAGGTGGGGAATAATATATATAATATATGTATAATATAATATATATATATTATAATATATATAATATATATAATATATATTATATATAATATATAATATATATAATATAAATAATATGAATAATATAATATATATAATATACAATAAATAATATATATAATATATATATATAATATATATAATATATAATATATATATATATTATACAATATATATATATTATATACAATATATATTATATATAATATGTATAATATATATGTAATATTATATATATATATGTATATAATATATATATATATACATATTATAATTTATAATATTATATATAATATATATATATATATTAGATATATTATTATTATTATCATCATCATTATTGTCATTATTATCATTATTATCATTATTATCATTATCATTATTATCATTATTATTAATTACATTATATTATTACTATTATTATGTATTATCAATATGTAGAGATCATGTTTTGTAGGCATGTATCAACCCATGGACGATAACATGCTTTGACCAGGTCGTATCATAGATCCTGAGAGCTGGAGATAGGAGACTCAGCTCGAGACGTTGTCAACGGTTTGCACAATAATGTTCTGCACCTGTGACGTTTCTATTCGTGGTGCCTTTTTTCGCAATTTGAAGTGAAAACTCTGCAATTTGGAACTCCAAGTAATACATCATTGAGTCAAAATCCAGATCATTGGGGGGGTCAAGTCACTGATGCGCCAATATAGATTCAAGACTAATTTGGTCATTTAATGGTCATTTACAGATTTACGAATTCAATGTTGAACCACAAAAAAATATAGACTATGATAGAATGCTCAGTAGAATTTACCCATCATTCGTAATATTGATAGAACATGATATAGGACATGATATATAATATGATATAGAATATGATATACTGGTTGGTGATTTCAACCCCTCTGAAAAAATATGAAAGTCAGTTTACCATCATTTACCACTCTTTTCTTTCGGATATTGACGATCAATCTGCCTGCGCCGAGGGCGGAATGCTCTGCAGCTCCACGGTTTCCATCCAAGTGGTCCATCCTGTGTCGGGAAAAAACGCATCGAACTATCGATGGATGTTTTCGAATGGGAAAATCAATGAAAAACCACGGGAAAATATGGGAAATTCATGGAAATTCCGAAAAAAAAAAAAGATTTTTTTTTTAATTGGAGAATCATAGAAAATCCATGGAAAACCATGGGAAAATATGGGGAATTCTCCAGTAGATGTATGTTCCTGTATGTTTATAGCTAGGAAAATCATCTATAATCATGGAGCTTTTGAATGGGAAAATCATCTATAATAATACTCATCTATAATCATCTATAATCATCTAATAATCATCATCTATAAAATGAAGCTTAAGTGGCAAATGCTCCAGTGATGTCCAGTTTTCGATGTTTGAACACATTTGCAGCTAGCAAGATTTTCCCGGGAAAATTCCCTGGGACACTCATGTTTTTTTTGGGACTAATCATGGGTTAATGGGTTTTTGATCATTGGGTTTTCATGGGAAATCGGATATCACCCGTGCCGTACGTGTCATGAAACCTGGGAAATCCCCGGGTGTCCGGATGTCCAGCGGATGTCCAGTCACGCAGGAAAAACCCACAAAAACTGGTGCAGAAAAACGTCAAGTTGACACCATCTCATATATATATATATATTATATGCAGAAAAGGTATGTAATGGGAGATTATGTACACAAATGATTAAAGATTGGATTGCGTACCCAAAACATGGATGCTGTCTCTGAAGGTGGTTTGTATACCCCTCAATTTATGGCCATGCAAATGATGAACCAAGGAATGTACCCGGGGTAGCATATTTTCAGAGGTGATGCTGTGGCACCAAACCAAAAAGGAAAGTTAGTTTAGTACGAGTAGGATGTTTTTGTACTATCTTTTTGAGGGCTACTATGAATAAGTCTCGATGCAGAAGAATTTCTTCTCGAGCCCGAAGGGCTTGTAGCTTTCCACATGACCAGTGTTTTGTAAAAATTCCAAGTTTATGAATGTTGGAATATGTAGGATGTAGAAAACCAATATCCTATAGCCTATACATTGAATACCAATACATATGGAATTGCATTTCTATAATCACTGCATAACCCTAATCATCAATCAACCAGGTTTTTTCCATGCCATCCACATCCGATCCTGGTTGCTTCAGATCCACCACGTAGTCGAAGACAGAGCCACGGTCCGGCAGATTCGGCTGCAACCTCACGGACCGACCAGGATTCGCCTGGAAAAATGGGGCTAATGTCATCTAATGTCGCCATGACGGTAGATACAACGATGATGTTGATGGATGTGAATGAGGTTTATAAAGCAACTTATAACTTGGGGGCACCATCCTGATTTACCGACGTAATGAAAGCAAATGGATGGTCTAAGTACCGATACAATAGCAATTTTACAAGCTGTCTATATTAGGAAATCAGGATACACCATTGAATGTGGGAGCTTTCCCACATATGTTCAGACAAATCCAGCAAAGCATCATCAAATGAATCGATTGAGGATGATTGTGTTGGGTTATGATGTTGGTATGTCCAAGTCTAAAGCAAGACGCACACACACACTGATTGAGATCCAGTCTGATTCACTTTCCTTCATGATTATATATGATCCATGATAGTCATATGGATATATGTATAATTGTATAGATATTTGCATGGATACATTACTTAGTAATATTCATTGGTAAGATTCATGATCCATGTGAGTGATATTAGCAAGTCATGGATTGGCAAAACATCTAAGAATATGATCGACATAGTGTCCACTACCATGCCATATGTCATTACATTGAGTAACATATGATCAACATAGATCATGCTCCAAAACACGGAGCATGACATGCCAGTCATGATTTTTCCACGACCCATCGGACGATGGCAACCAGCGTCCGGGGCTCCCGGCTTTTTGTGCGGTTTATGGTTGTCCACCTGGCTGCAGAACAATCGGATCGGATCATCGAACGGTGTGTCTGGAAATGAGGTGGAAACCGTACCAATTGGTCCAATTGGTCCAATTGGTTGAAGGACAAT